TCATCCGTGGCGAACTGAAGCACCGATCCGGTCGGGCAACGGGCCCGTTGTGGGGGTCGGGTGAGCTGGTTTCCGGTCGTGGTCCAAAGAGGAGGGCTGGGTCGTAGGACCCAGACTGGCTCAGGGTCACCTCAGGTTGGGTATCTTGGGACCCTCAACACCGATGGCTTTTTGGACCGAAGAAACATGGAGCAGTTGCCTCTGGGTAAGGATTTTAGACTCCAAAAAACAGGTCAGTTGCCTCTAGGACTTCGGGGTTGGCGCCCCAAACACTCCACCCTAAAAACCTATGGAAGTCCAGTGCGAGCCTGTCTGGACTTCTTTTGCCGATGTAGCTAGCAGTGGTGCCGGTCGCGGTGGATCCCGAATCGCAAAGGGACTCGTGAAAAACCAACCAGATCATGGATTGAATCAGCTCTTAATGGGGTAGGGTTAAATCAATCAAGGAGCCTACATTAGGGACCACAGAACCATGCATTTCCATGATCCCTTCGATTCCTACCGAACACACATTTTCTTTTACCAAGGATCTTGGAAGGCAGAAATTGGGTCACACACCCCTCTTGGGTGGAGGGACCAGCCGGGCTCTTCGGAGCATCTGGGGTACCACATTCTTGCACATCCCCTAGAAGTCCAGGTTAACTACATTATTTAGCACCACCGAAGTAATGCAATTTCTGGACTCCGGTCACCTAACGACCATTTTTAAAGGGAATAGTATGTTCCTTTATGCCGACGGTCCCTTTTTATATGCTAGAGGCTGGAATTCTTTTCTAAATGCGGCCGTTCTTTCTATGCTGGCGGTTCTGATTTTAAGGTTGGGTGGTTCTTTTATTATGCGGACCGTTCTATTTTTCAATCCTCGCGGTCATTTTTTCCAGGAGATTCATTGTTTTTATGCGTGTGATTTTGTTTTTGCCACAGGCATCTCCGATGCTTGGGTTCTCGTTTAGTCGATGTAGTGGGGGGGCAGCGCGAGACGAGGCAAGCATTTTCGTGGATGGAAGATGGGTGTGGACGGGGCTGTGGATGGAAGATGGAGGGGCGCGATACGGGAGGGTGGACGGGGTGGACGGAAGGCACAAAGACCGGCTTTGTGTAGCCTGGTAACACAGTCGAGAGGATCAGGTCCTCAGCGAGCTTGCGAGAGCCAGGTGAGGCCCAGGAGGAGCTGAGCTCTCTCACCAGTGCCTCGCCGGCCGAACAGGCAATGCACCAGCTGTCGCCGGGTGCAGCCTCAGCCTGGCGATACTTGTAGCAGGGCATACGGACAGACAATGGCTGATCTTCCTGGCCCTTCCCATCTGGCATAAGCAGCAAATCATGCCCCATGCCACCACTGTGCACAGCTCTGGCCATGGAATGCTCTTGGCCTCATCCTGCTCATACATGGGCCATTGCAGCATGAGCTCATTCCTCAAGCTTTGAAGTAGTCCGCAAATTCACTGCCTCCCCAAACCGCCCGGCACCTGTGCAGCACGCAAGACCACGTAATGTGGAACAGGAGGGCCGTGGGCAAGCATGAAGCTCTATGAATCCTTAGGACAAAATACGAGATCTTTGATCTTTCTGTTGCGAAGGCGGTGTTGATTCTCTCGCAAATTTCTGCATAAGTGTTCCAGGCCACCCTTGACACGACTATCTGGGAAAGCTGTTAGCCAAGCCTGTGCCGTTCCCCTCCGCCAGTCACAGTGCTCTTTTTTCAAAGCAAGTCGCCGAGAGAACCGAGGCAGTGCTCGGTCATCCCCAGACGAAAGGTGGATCTTCTCCATCTCTTGGTTTGTCTCCTATACAGAAAAACTTGGTCGGCAGAACTCGGGTGGATGGTAGTGACATTTCGGTGTAAACAGGGCTGCTGATCACATATAACGGGTTGAACAATGCAGCGTTCATGGAATCGCTCATGGGTTCACCACGTCGGAAGACAACTGGTGGAGTCCCGAATTGCCGCGATCCTGAATGGTCCACAAAGTACTGGCCGAAATATATGGTTCTCAGCAGTGAAGTGAGCTGGCCGGCTGCGTTCTTGGACGCGTGGCAGGGTCCCTGGAGGCACCATACGCTGCCTCCGTGGTACTTCAGGATTTTCAAAGGCAGGCGTGGAAGAGCATGAGGAGGGAGGACTTCGTATGTAACGTCCTTGAAACATGGGGCCTGTGCATCCATGACCTCAAAATGGCTGAGCTTGTCGAAGTCGCCCATCATCGCCTCCCTAAACAGGATGTGCGAATTGTGTCGTGTACATCATCAGACTTCGATCCATAGCGGCAAAGCCAGTGGATCCACCATCGCAGAAGTCGGATGCGCTCCCGGCGTAAATGGCGTCTCTGGTCTTGGTCCCAACCTTCGCTCTCAGGCGCCAAAGGACGGGTGAAATCTACTTCTGCTACTTCTGGCGTCGACGACATCACAACGGCCACCACATGGGGAATGGCGAAATCCTTCATCAAAAAGAGCACCTTCTGCCGGCATAAAAATTGGAACCCTCCAGCATAAAGAATTTAGCTGTGAGCAATGGCAAGGAGAAACGGACGGAACAGGAAGGAAAAGGATTTCTCCTTCCGCCATTTCTGCCACCCGGGGAATGGCAAGGTCCGTCAGCATAAAAAGAACCGGTCTGCAAAAAAACATCCTGCGCATAAAGAAAGACACCATCTGCATAAAAGAACTTGCCTAAAACAGCAAAAAACGAGCCATCTGCATTAGAACACACCCTCCAGCTTAGGCGCCCTGGTACGCACGTGTAATCCAAAACGCCCCCTAGCAAAATCCAGGCCCCATCCAGATACCTGTATGCATTTACTAACCTCGGCTAAATGCATCTGTGTGGTCTGGAGGTCCACTTTGCGGAAATGCTTTCGTCTTTCGAACAAAAAATAACATGATGGGGTACTGCTGGATGCCGTTCTCTCACTCTTGAACATGCATTTGTGAATTGTTTGTGTCCAACCTATGGGGTGCTACTGGGGCTTGAAAATGCCTTTGGGACGTTTCTGTGTCCGATGGCTTTCTTCTGTTTATGCATGAGGAAGTTCCAAAAACGCATCTGAGCTCCAAAACGTGGGAACATACGGCACGAAACGTGAGCTTTAAAAAAGCCAGGTTCGAACACACTTAAAACGTATATAGTAATAATACAACTAGTAGGCAGCTATATAAGCCCTCCAGCATCAAAAAGCAGCCCTGAGTCACGAGACCATGAGCATTAAAAACAACACCGGAAACATCAAGAAAAGGAACAACATAAGAAAACAGATGAATAATGGCGAAAGGACCGAAAGAAAGGAGAAGAGGAAGGAAGATCTCCCTCCGCCACCACTGCGACTACCGGGGGGGGGGCGAACCCCTCAACATATAAAAGAAAAGAGAAAAACGGGCATAAAAGAAGCACCCGCTGCGTACAAAAAAACAAGAACCCTTGCTCCGAAACCATGCCTGCCATAAAATAAACACCCAACCCTTCTTAAAAATGAACTTCCAGGGCATCAACCTCTATCACGAGGGCATCAACTGATGACCATCCGAGGTCCGGGCATGGACACGTAAGCTTCGCTGTCGACTTTTGCCGGATTGGGATGCCCCCGGTCGGTCATACACTTTGCGCTTGAATGCTTCTAGTACTTTAACCCATCCCCAGATACAAGACAGGATCCAATTGATCACCGGACTGGTCACTCATCACTATTCCTTCCTTTCTCATTCAGATTCCAAACCAGCAACTGCACGCTACTTTCGGAGCTTCCGACCCATCCAACCCCGTCCGCGCCGCCACGCCACGCGCCCGAACCCATGGTGTCCCGACCGCCACGCGCAGCCAGACCTGGCGTGGGGCGGAGGTCCAGTCGGTGGCCGGCAGAATCCGGTGCAAAGGTTGAAGAACCCGACTGCTTCGACTTCCAGTGGGGTATCCTAGGAGTGTTCTGTATTTCAGGTCACTTCACCTCTCTTGGTTCTTTATAAGGTGTTCTGCATGAAATGGGGTACATCGAGTGTCTGCCAGACAGCTGGTCACTGGTGGCCCTCTGCCAGACAAATGAATCAATCATCGACCGGAACAGGCCTCGATTCCTACCTGGATCCAGCTGTTTTTTCACCCAAGAACCAGCTGTTTTACTAAAGATTCTGCACTACAACTGTCATTGATTTAATGGTCTTTGACCAAAAAACATCGAACAACCATTCATTTTACTGAGATTTTGCCCTACAAAAGCAGGTCAACCGAACTCATTTAATGGTTTAGCGGAAGTCCCTTGCCAGCGTTTGTATGGGACGTTCTAAGAACAGAGACACAAAAGAGGCGAAGACCAAAGAAGAATCAATTATACCATGTAGATGTGCAAGATTGATCAAGATTGAAATTGGTTATAACATGTTAGGACTCATGACCCTATAACGAACCATGGACCTATAGAATATTTACCATCATTGGTCCATATAATTCCAAATACCCCAGGATGGTCTGGGTCATGACGTACCAGCACCTCCCTGACGAAAAGATCTTCAAGTGCTTTAGGGATTGGCGGGGTCCGATTCCAAGGCTTGACGCCACCGATCGAAGGAGATGGCGCCACCCCGACCAACGTGGTTCCTATGACCGACCTGGTGCCGAGATGGCCGACATGACGGGTGCGTGCGGGCCCATGGTGAATGAGAAGACGTGGCAGTGAGGGTACTGACCCCCCAAAAAGGGCTCCTGTCCCATATCAGAAGGTGGTTAGACCATGTTAGACCCCCTTGACACCCACCCCTGGCCCAACTTCGAAACGGAGCTAGTTGGAGTCCTAGGGTATTGCCCAGACGCTCCAAACCACCTGACTGGCCCCTCAAAATCACATTTTCAGTTCGACCATCCAACAAATGCCAGACCTGATTTCCTGTTGTCTACAAATCCTTACAGCAAAAGGAGCTGGAGGAGAAGGATCTTTCTCTTTTACTTCCACCCTTATATGAAGATCTTATCGTGTATAAACCAGCTAATCAGACCTGATTTCTACAAATCCTTATAGTAAAAACATGTAAAAACACATTAAACACCAGTCTGGTCCTTTGGCACTTCCCTTCCAACCAGCTGACAGCTCTCCCAGGTGGTGCCACCCCACCGACCCCAACCCCAACACCCGCCCCAGCGCCCCCCCCCAGCGCCCCACGTGCTCGAGCTCGGTGAGCGGCTCGCTGGCCAGGCCGTGGCGCTCGGGCACCGGAGAGAAGGAGACCTGGACCGAGAGAAGGAGCTGTCGAGCCACCCAGTAGTGCTATGCAATGACTCCTGTCGACATATACCAGAGAGAAGGCGCCCAGGACCCGACCAACCCGAGAATGATCTGAAGACCATGGGACCACTCCAAATCACTCCAAATCACTGGGTGGTTCGTAGACCCATCAGACGACCCATGTCCCAAAGACGACTGAATAGTGGGCTGCCATATCAGGGGGAGCGGTGGTTGATTTGGGGGTCCATGTAGATGGACATCTATTCCACTGCCAGGACACCAATTCACTGCCAGGTCACCTGTCTGGTTCAGACCTGAGATATAGGACACCAAAACTAACAACCCTCGAACAAAGAAGACCCGTTGGAGGGTGCTGGTAGATGTGTCATGTGTCTAGTAGGGTGCTTGGTATCATATTACATGCACATTCATTATGTAGCACATCTCATCTAGACCCTGAGTAAAAGCGATTTTAGACCACGCATCCACAATCCACAAAATGAGTCCTAATTAGTGCTTTCCATTCCTTTCGTATCAACATGCATTGTGACATTCCTTTCGCTCCAACGCTTAGCCTCGAGGCTTTCGACACCAGGATCTGAGACGTCCAAATGATTCCTTTCGACCCGCACAGTAGTCGTGGTGGATGTGTCACTTCTCAAGTGTGGTTTCCACGGACCTTCGGCCCCGGACGTTCGGCTCGGCCTCCACGGCGAAGATGGCAGGGAAACGTTTCCGCTCGGCAGCGGAAAGCTGGAAGTCGGCGCCTGAGTCAGAGAGAGATGCGGATCAGCTGATTCCATTCCCAGTGAAGTCCGGTTTTTACAGATCTCCTTCGCAAGGTGGCCCCAAAAACAAGGATCAACAGAAGTTTCGGAACAACATCCAAACTTCAATATAGTCTCCAAATAGAGATCAATTCGGAAACAATGGGAAGGTGCCTCAGGAGGGCTTCTCATTTTGGGAACTGCTCTAGTGTTAAAAGATCTAACCCCTGCTTGGGAGTCCAAACATATTTTTGACAATTGATGTTTCAGTGACCCGAGTCCAGGAGGTTTTTGAAAACAACTCACTCCCAGAAACAGCCTGCTAGGGTCCAAAAACAGACAGTCGGTCGAAGGGTCCTGGTAGATGATCCGAGTCCATTTCCTGAACACTTCATCGGTAGCAAGGAAAAACGAACTGGACTTCTACCTGGACCTTCCTGATGGGGTGTTCCATTGGAGGTGGAGGAGGAGGCATTGGTGGCAGTGGCAATGGTCTCGAAGGTGCTCCAGGTACAGACTTGTACCAAAGTCCATTGCCCTTTACATTTTGTTGGCACTCTTTTGGAGCGTGTGTGAGTGTGAGTGAGAGTGAGAGTGAGAGAGTGAGAATGAGAGAGTGAGAGTGAAAGTGAGAGTGAGTATGAGAGTGAGTGAGAAGAGTGAGTGAGAGTGGGTGAGAGCGTCAGTGAGAGTGAATCAGTTAATGAGAATGATAGGAACATTACTGCACAGAACCGTCCTGGCGGCACACATGACGTACTTCACGCTGCAAGGTGCCTTACTTTGCCAGTGAGGCAGAAGTGGATGGACCACACCACTGCCTTGTACCCTGTCGCTAGGGGCTGGCCTTTCAAGTCATCGAACATGTTTCCCTTTTTCAAACGTTTCCCATCAGCATCAGGATGAAACCCTCTCACAAGCGCATTCAATGACCAGCAAATAAATGTGCTTCATGATTTCCCCCCATGTATCAGGAGCAGTGCAAACCTTGGGTACACAGGCCAGCAGAAACTTGGCTTCCAAAGGGCTTAATCTTTGGTCAATGAATTCAACCCGGGGAAGGGGAAGGGGAAGGGCAAGGGGAAAAGCACAACCCTTGACAAAGGGAAAGGCAAAGGGAAGGGCAAAGGGCACGGGCAAAATACCAAAAGAAAATGCTGCCAATTAGGAAGAAAATGACCGTGAGCAAGCTATGAGCACACTCAGGAAAACAAGGGGCTTGCTGGCCCACACCTCTTCCAACTATGAGGACACCTTGGGGAAGGTGAAGGTTATGGGGTATTTGGCAAAGCCAGCAATGCTTGCAAAGGAAACAGCCCTCAAGCACCTTGGGTCACGGCCAAACTGCCAACACTGAAGTCCTTGCTGGTGGAAGGTGTGAAAATTGTGAAGGAGGCTAAGGAAGAAGCCAAGGAGCTGGTGCAGATTTCAATGAGGACCACTTCCAAAGCTGCATCTTCAAAGAAATGAACTGCAACAAACCCTGGAGGAAGGGAGTTTTTTTGTACTTTTCATGTGCAGTTGTGCCTCTGAACGCAGCTGGGGCATGTTGCTAGTATAGCTCACTGAACACAGAAGCTTAGAGTGAAAAAACCGAGGCATTCCACTAAGGTTTCAGGGTGTTGGGCTGTTGAATTTTATTTGTCAAAAATGTGTTGGGCTGTTGAATTTTAGTTGTCAAAAATGTGTTTCGGGTGCATACATCCTGTGGATACATGTTCCCATGCCACCCCTCCCAGTTTGCTTGAAAGGGCTTAAAGTAGACTTTGGCAAAGGGGTTTTGATAATTGAGACAATGTGCAAAAGGCTCAGGGGGTGGAAGTTGGATGAAGAAATAGAGCATGTGACGGGAAGGCAACCTTTGAGAAAAGGGAAAGCAATCTTTGCACAGCATTGCTCAGCCTCTGGGCACATGTCACAGGGATATTCTAACAAGGTGTGTGAAGGATGTTTCCATCCCTGATCCAATGCGTGTAGAAGTGACTATGATAGATCCAAAATCATTGAAGAAGGAAAAGAACAGGTTGCAAATTTCTGCCACACGTCATGTTCAGCAGATTTGCAGCCCTGCCCAGCTTTCATGAGCCGTTCCCACTTGAGAAAGTGGAAATGTTTTGGAACCTTGTTGAAAAAAGTGGTGATGAAAGGCTACAAGACCACCCTGCAAAGGCAGGGCTGGAAGAAGCGCACTGCACCATTGTGGCTCCATGGGGATGGTGTGGAGTACACCCCACCAGCAATCTGATGCCTTCCCCAATCTGTCGGCGTCGCCAGGGCCTTCGCAAACGGAGGGCTTCGCCCGCGGCCGCCGACAGTCGAACTTCATGGACGGGCACCCAAACGGTGCCGAGGCTCCACCGTTTCTGGAGTGTCAAAGCACAATTCAAACTTTTCAGGACCTGCCCAAATTCCGGGACCTTGAGTCGGAACTTGGGCTTCAGGTCCGTGGAACTCTTTGTTGACGTCCGCTTTAAACCCGCGTCCGCCAACAACCTTTTGGCCAAGCTGATGATGCTGATTGCCGAACTTTTTCGGGCAATCATTGCCAGCGTGGGCACACTCACTCAGCTTGATGCTTCAAAAAAAAGCGCCGGACTCCATAGGAGCCGGGCTAGTATAGGCGGCATACTGGGCCCTTTCGGCCGCCGCGCAGGCCAAGCCTCGAACTGGCAGGGTTGACACTTCCAGACTGTAGTCTTGGAAGCTTGTCACCGATTCGACGGGGACAGGGGCGCCCTGTACAAGAAGGTCCCGACTTCTTTGCACGCACCCTGGAACCGCGTTACATCCGTGCCGTCTGGCGTTTGCTCATAGCTTCCGAACCGTGGACTTCATCATCATCTTGCTGAAACTCTTGGGCAAGTTGCCAACTTTGCCTTTTCTTGCCCGTGGTTGTCTTTGCCCAATCCTGGGTATCCATGTATTCATAGACTCCACAAGAGCTTGTCTCTTTCCACACCACTCTTCCTGAGTCGGTGTGTTTTTCAAGTCCTCTTCCTCCCATTTTTTCAAGGGCTTCCTTCTCACTCAGCCATTTCTCCTTTTTCAGTAAAGAACTCTCCAGACTTGCTTCTTTTGCCACTGTGCAAAACTTGGGGGCATCGGTTCTCATCAACCACAATGCAGTCAGGAACCCTTTTCCTTTTTGTTTGCATCGGTGAACAAGGCCTCCTCCTGACCAGCCTTCTTCAGCTGCTTGTTGTGTCTGTTCCAGGCCCTGGATTTTTCTGGGGTCATGGCATCCTCGAGCACCATTGCAGCTTCAACTTCATCATCCTTGTCCTCTGAAAGCTTTTTGATTTTCTCTTGTAAGGACATTGTGCCCAGCTTGTTCAACTGTCCCTTCTTCAAGGGGTTGTTTGTCTTTGCCTTGAACGCAGCTGGGGCATGTTGCTAGTATAGCTCACTGAACACAGAAGCTTAGAGTGAAACAAACAGAGGCATTCCACTAGGGTTTCAGGGTGTTGGGCTGTTGAATTTTATTTGTCAAAAATGTGTTGGGCTGTTGAATTTTAGTTGTCAAAAATGTGTTTCGGGTGCATACATCCTGTGCATACATGTTCCCATGTCACCCCTCCCAGTTTGTTTGAAAGGGCTTCCACCCTTCACAGCTTGGGCTCAAAACCCATAGCAATGTTTCCAGCCTTTGAGAAAGGGTCTTACCATGCGAAATGGAATTGTAAAGTAGCCTTTGGCAAAGGGTTTTGATAATTGAGACAATGTGCAAAAGGAGTGGAAGTTGGATGAAGAAATAGAGCATGTGACGGGGAGGCAACCTTTGAGAAAAGGGAAAGCAATCTTTGCACAGCATTGCTCAGCCTCTGGGCACATGGGCATTTGAGTGCTGTGGCTGTGAGAAAATTAGCAGAGGCTGCTGTTTTGGATGGGGAACACAACATGCAGAATGAGCCGACCTAGCCAAGGTAGGCCATTATGGCGAAGTTCCTGCCAATTGTCACAGGGATATTCTAACAAGGTGTGTGAAGGATGTTTCCATCCCTGATCCAATGCGTGTAGAAGTGACTATGATAGATCCAAAATCATTGAAGAAGGAAAAGAACAGGTTGCAAATTTCTGCCACACGTCATGTTCAGCAGATTTGCAGCCCTGCCCAGCTTTCATGGGCCGTTCCCACTTGAGAAAGTGGAAATGTTTTGGAACCTTGTTGAAAAAAGTGGTGATGAAAGGCTACAAGACCACCCCTGCAAAGGCAGGGGCTGGAAGAAGCGCACTGCACTATTGTGGCTCCATGCGGATGGTGTGGAGTACACCCCACCAGCAATCTGATGTGCTGGAGGTGGGGCCGAATGATGAATGCCTTCACCAATCTGTCGGCGTCGCCAGGGCCTTCGCAAACGGAGGGCTTCGCCCGCGGCCGCCGACAGTCGAACTTCATGGACGGGCACCCAAACGGTGCCGAGGCTCCACCGTTTCTGGAGTGTCAAAGCACAATTCAATCTTTTCAGGACCTGCCCAAATTCCGGGACCTTGAGTCGGAACTTGGGCTTCAGGTCCGTGGAACTCTTTGTTGACGTCCGCTTTAAACCCGCGTCCGCCAACAACCTTTTGGCCAAGCTGATGATGCTGATTGCCGAACTTTTTCGGGCAATCATTGCCAGCGTGGGCACACTCACTCAGCTTGATGCTCCATAAAAAAGCGCCGGACTCCATAGGAGCCGGGCTAGTATAGGTGGCATACTGGGCCCTTTCGGCCGCCGCGCAGGCCAAGCCTCGAACTGGCAGGGTTGACACTTCCAGACTGTAGTCTTGGAAGCTTGTCACCGATTCGACGGGGACAGGGGCGCCCTGTACAAGAAGGTCCCGACTTCTTTGCACGCACCCTGGAACCGCGTTACATCCGTGCCGTCTGGCGTTTGCTCATAGCTTCCGAATTGTGGACTTCATCATCATCTTGCTGAAACTCTTGGGCAAGTTGCCAACTTTGCCTTTTCTTGCCAGTGGTTGTCTTTGCCCAATCCTGGGTATCCATGTATTCATAGACTCCCCAAGAGCTTGTCTCTTTCCACACCACTCTTCCTGAGTCGGTGTGTTTTTTCAAGTCCTCTTCCTCCCATTTTTCAAGGGCTTCCTTCTCACTCAGCCACTTCTCCTTTTTCAGTAAAGAACTCTCCAGGCTTGCTTCTTTTGCCGCTGTGCAAAACTTGGGGGCATCGGTTCTCATCAACCACAATGCAGTCAGGAACCCTTTTCCTTGTTGTTTGCATCGGTGAACAAGGCCTCCTCCTGACCAGCCTTCTTCAGCTGCTTGTTGTGTCTGTTCCAGGCCCTTGATTTTTCTGGGGTCATGGCATCCTCGAGCACCATTGCAGCTTCAACTTCATCATCTTTGTCCTCTGAAAGCTTTTTGATTTTCTCTTGCAAGGACATTGTGCCCAGCTTGTTCAACTGTCCCTTCTTCAAGGGGTTGTTTGTCTTTGCCTTGGGGCCTGCCTTTGATTTTGCTTTCATTGTCTTTTTGACAACGGTTGCAGTAAGCTTCATAGCTTTCATAGGGTTCATCGCTTTTATTTCCCCTTCTCACAAGGGCTAATGCCTGAAATGTGTTGGTTACCACACCAAACTCTTGAGCCACAATGACAGCATAGGGTATGTTAAAGTCACGGTACAATACGAGCAAGGGCAAGGTCAACTCACAATCCAAGGGCCCGTCACACATTGTCTCATAAGTGTCATGACTCATGACGCCATCAAAGCCCAAAAACAGTACTTAGTAACTCAGTACATGCTTACATGCCAGGCTGCCAGAAAAGAATCACTCCTTTTTCTAATCTCCATCACCCGGTGCCCTAGTGGTAGCGGAAGTTCTTCTTCAGCCACTCCCACTTCTCCCTTACATGGCATATGGCGACCCCAATTGGGTTCTGCCAATGCTTACTCACCGTGCTTTGCAAAGCGAAGTCTCGAGTGAAAATCTGGCCCATCTCACCATGTTGGTGAAGACTCAGCAAAGCGCTCCACGCCATGTCATTCAATGGCGGCTGCAACCTCCGCAACAAGGTCACCACTGAAAAACTGATCAGGGTGATGAAAGGTGATGAAAAATGTTGAAAACACTAGTTTCATCACCTTTCATCGCCCTTCATCGCCTTTCATCACCCTTCATCACTTTTCATCACCCTTCATTACACCATATATTTATTATTATCATTATATACATATGAATACGGGTTTCCAATTAGACACCGTCACTTGGAAACCAAATCATACTTCAAAAAACCTTTTTTGTGCACGCTTCCACCAGCAGGCTTCCCTAAAACAAGTCATTTGAGATATTTTATTGGACATGACTTCCAATATTGTCCAATGAAATGGGCAGCAACCAAAGAAGCAAATACAAAAATTCTTTGTTAGCAGGTCTACTTGATTCTGTTCCCTTTCCCAAGGTTATCTCCACAAACCATGCCACCCATCCTCAATGATACCAGCTGCACTTTTGCTTGCCTGTGTCTAAGCTGTGCTGGTCTCTTCACCTGGCTGCTCCCCATCTGAAACACAAAAATTGTTTACAGATTTTTGCAGTGTATTGGGTATGCTGGTGGCAAACCTTAAATGTTGAACACAAAAAGGGGGAGTAGCCATGAGTGCAAAACATGCAAGTGAAACAACCCCTTTCTCAAAGGATTGAGTCTTGTTTGTTTTCCCTTTCTCTCTCAAGGATTGAACCTTGTTGGTTGCCCTTTCTCAAGGGTGACCCTGTTGGTTTCCCTTTCTCAAGGGTAGCTTTCCTTTACATGTGCTGGTGTTTGGCCAGAAAGGCATCCACAGCATCAGCAAAAGTTTTCCAAGGGCCATCTTCGCTTGTGGTTGTGCTTGTGGCTGTGTGTTTGTGATTGTGTCTGCGGTTGTGTTTGTGGTTATGTGCTGGTTGAGGTCTGGCGGGGAACACTGCCAGCCGAAGCTCGCGGTTGATTCCCGACGGGGAACACTGCCAAGCGGAACTCGCGGTTGAGGTCCGGGTGGCCCACTTCATCTTGCTCCTAGAAGTCCAGGTTTTGAAATTTGGCTGAGGCATACCAGGGATCCATTTGAAGCATCTCAATCATAGCTTGCCCAAGTTGCAACTGTTGGTTCATCAAACTGGCCCACAGAGGACAACAGGTGAAGGTCTGTTGCTGCCCACCATCTGGTTGAACAGGTTGAAAACTACCACTCTGAATTCCACTCAAACCATCTCCAGGTTGTCCTACCGCTACACCCGCAAAAGGTTGGTTCAAAGAACTCTGCACTGCTGCTGACTGTGTTGTGGTAGGTGCGGGGAGAACAGTTCTAGTTCCAGTTCCACATCCATTTCCAGATCCACTTCCAAAGTGGTGCAAGCTGTCTCAAAAAGGCAAGAGCTCTAAGTTCCAATTCCAAATCCAACATGGCGGGGCAGTTCCAGTTCCAGATCCAATTCCAATGGTCATGTCAACTTCTGCCATAAACTTATTTTCTTTTGGTTGGGGGGGATCCAGTTCCAGATCCAGTTCTAGTTCCAGATCCAATTCCAGTTCTCATTTCAATTACTGTGAGGAAATTAGTTTTTGGTGGGTGGCGGGGGTGGGAGAAGAAATCAGTTCCAGTTCCAGATCCGTGGTCATGTCAACTCCTGCGATGAAATAAATTTCTTCCAGCTCCAGATCAAGTTCCAGATCCAATTCCTGTGAAAAACACTATCAGTTCAGACCTTGAAAGCCCATGGCCTATAGGCAAGAGAGACAAATGTCCAATGCGTGACCTCAGGAGAGAAGAGTTGGGCACACAAACACCTTCAGGAGACAGGTGCATCTCAAGTGACCATTGAAGCCTGGTGTCCTCACACAGAACAGTGATGCTGCTGCCCCCCTGTTGCTTTCCGACTCATTCGGCTCCCGGACCCCAAGCACCGTAGTGCAACATCTCCAAGTCGGTGTCACCCCGCAGCACCTCCGAGTCACGAAGAGGGTCGTGTTGGGTCAAGCTGGGGATCTGCATACGCTAGGTACGGTGAGGACGGAAACTCTTTGATGTAGGTGCCAGGAGGGTCCAATCACCGTACCTGAGAGGGGTATGTAGATCCTTACAGATAGGGTCACCAAGCAGATCATAGCTGTGTAGACCCACGGCAAGGACCCCCTGGGAAGACGGGACCTCGGGGAACAACAGATCCGTCCAAACGCAGCGGACGGGGCGAGCGGATGGCTCCTATTCAAAATACACCACCGGTTCGATCATGTTGTCCACGGTGTGCCGCACCCGGGTGAAGCTGTTGGAAGGCATGATTCCATGCATTGGAGTGGTTGAACAAGGGGTCCAACTATCGGGCTTCATCCCCGATGTCCAGCTTCACACCCCGTCTTCAGATGTGATGAAAACACTACAGTAATTAGGGGTGAAGTCTATTTCCTTACATTCCATAGTGATTGCTTTTCATTCAGGGCTTGGTGTAATTAGGGGTGGTTGAAAAAAGGGGCAACAAGCAGCTTTCGTCCCATGGATCGTCGGACTCCCGACCGTTCAGCTCCTGTGGGTCACTTCTACGGATTTGAGAAGTCATCCACGCGCGCGCCGTCTGGGGACTGGGTCTTTCTAACTTGGCTGCTTTGGTACCAGCACCTGACTCTACAGGTCTACAGAACGTTTAGCCAAACTCTTTGCATGGATTTTCATCGAAGGGACTTCCTTTACAATCTTCAAACATGAAAAGGACGAAGACCCAACATCTCACAGATCCAGACCTTGAAGTAGCCACCCTGCTGCCACTGCATTCCGAAGGAGTTCAGCAAAAGCCAGTAGTCTCGACCTCGTAAAGAACGCGGAACGCGAGCGAGGGTCGCGAGCGTGCGTCACGAGTATCGCGAGGCGTGTTTTGGAGCACATGGGCACCTCGAGGATGATGAAAGAATCCAACTGTTCAAGTGCGATGAAGACATCGACCAAAAAGTTACTGCCAGCACCACCACGGAACTGGGTGGTTTATAGACCCTTTGGACAATTTTCCATCCAATAATCACCTGAAAAAGGAGGCGCTGGGTATGACTTTCTAGTTGCTCTGACCTTTTCAATTATTTCCAATACCATCCTTGGGTGGGCCTGAAGAAAGTGCGACTTTCCTTTATACTTAACTTACCTTGTGAACTGAAGAAGGTCGACCTGGGTCAATCTGCAAAGCCGAGTCCGACGTTGACCTGCACTTTCCGACGATTCCTTTTTGAACAACACCTTAACTACCTGGACCATCCTGTCGGGACCATCCAATGGACAAACCTACACTACTTACAAGTCTCCATTGGGTACCCATCCCAGACACTCCATGTGAGTGTAGGTCAATATGCCAGTCCCATGGAAGTATATATAGTGTAGGAAGTCACTATACCCACGGTCCATTGGAGAGTCCAGGAAGTCACCGTTTGTTTTTTCTCCTCCGTCGTCTGGCGATCTCATCCCCAGACGCTCCATTCTTAACCTCATATATGAACGTGACCGGCATGAGACGTAGCGTCCGTTTTCACGGACTGGACTGGACCAATTCATGGTGGCTGTGGCGTCCCAAACCCAAAGCCCTATAGGGCTCCGATAGGCTGACCATGTCTCGTAGTCTACTCATGTTTGGTTGTCCAAACCGGTTGGTGTCGACCTAGTTCCATGGTCGTTGGCGTCGACCACCCATCGAACGAGCAAGCTTGGTGGGTAAAACCCTCAACATGATTCGATGGGATCTGCCACCCCGGGTGGGTGGGTGGCTGGTATAGTCCTCTTCTTGACTTAAGAAGGTCCATGCGCTTTTCTTTGTGGCCCTTGAGGATTGGACTCCATCTCAAGGACATGTTAAAGTGTTGAAATTCCACTTCAAAGCACATCTAAGAGCACTAAGAACCTTGCGATGGACATTCTCAACCTAAAAAACATCTTATATCCCAAACACTGAGATTCCGGTTGCATGACCTACAGTAAAAACCAAAAAGGAAAAGAACATTGAAAGTCGGGGAACCCGCAAGATGAAGAAGAAACAAACTTCGCTGCCAACGAAGAATGGAAATCATGTGCGACAAACGCGACACCATTCCCAGAGACTCCATGTATATAAGGAATATTTACATTGGGGTGGCTTCAGCGGTGAATGAATATTTAAATATGCCATACATGGAGTGTTTGGGATGGATACCAGATCTTCCAACGTCAACTGTGGAACACAAACAAGCCGAGCTTCGTGTATACAAACTAAGGCAAGGTTCGGCGTTACAACTGTTGCCAGTTTGGTGGTTAACTATGCCAAAGTTTACTTGGAAGATCCAGGTACCGAAGATCGTCCCGTCCGGCGAGGACCACTCATTCCGGGATGGACCCGATGACACCGTTCAGAGGTGATTTTTCGAGTTCAGAGTCGATGACACCATCCCAGGTGTTATTTTTTCTTGAACACGTGGCATGCTGAATTGAAACTCCTGAACTCTGGTCAGTGGGTCGTCAAACCATGTTTTTAAAGAACTCATGGACTGGACTCCCAGCATCTCCCAGCGTTGATATCGACCCAGCGGGTCATGATGATCTAAAAATATCTAAAAGAGTCGGCACATGTACAGAACCAGCAAAAAGAATGAACCCAAGGGCTCTGCAGGCGCCCGGAAGTATCGCGTGTTCAACGTCCCTTCTGCTCTCCAAACAAATCCACCAGGTGTTCGCCGCTCCACCACCCCCTCTCGCCCCGGCTGCTCTCGCCCCTCCATTTCCTGAGGTTCTCCGGCTGTTCGAGTCACTGCCCCAGCCGACCAAGGCAGCCCCGTGCCTGTGATGGAGAAATCTGGTTCCACCCGAATCATTTCTTGAGGATGATGTGGAACCGACACCCATTATGATAATATTATATGAGTAGATATATACCTTGCAACCGAACTGGGTGGCCTGCTTTCTTTGGTGGACCGATAGTTTTTTGTTGGGTATCAAAAAAGGTTAGAGAAACATATGCTGACCCAAATATACCAGGACACCCTAAGGGGTGTCTATTGATAGCCCCTTAGAGGTTACGGTGTCCATTAACCACCCCTTGTGGGTCCTAGTATAAGGCTGTGACTCCAACAAATAGCTTTCACACAAAAAACACACTGCGAAGTGCCAGGTTTAGGCTGCTGCGGAGGGTCAAGTCATACCCTCGTTTCGAAGGTGGCAGTGGATTTCGCAGGGAATCTGCAGTGTTGTTTCGTATTTGGGGATGCCTTGGTCCACCAGGTAGCGAAAGACCTTCCAGGTAGGGCAACCAAGCAAGGTATCCTGGTATTGACTCCTTCATACCCGATATTACCACTTGCGCTTGACGACTCACGTGAAACGTGAGTCGAGCGTGTTGCCCTACCACAGATAGGAACAACTAAGAAAGAGCCCCAGTGAGACATGCACAAAAGATCAGACATCATCTGTATCAATTCGCCACGAGTCCAGCGTACGTCCAGCACCGATTCTGAACAGCTTTGCAATGGTCAATCAAGCTTCGTCCGGGTGCCATGGAATGGCGCCCATGACACATCCTTGTGGAAGCATCCTGCCACATGACCGCGGGTGAGTTGAATGAAAGGTGCCTGGAAACGCAGAACAACACTCGTTCTTCCACAATGCTTGCGTGCAATCTCGGATCTTTTTGTAAAGGTCATAGTAGGTTGTCTGCTGACGATCCTGCTGAAGTCTGTGGCCAGCAACATGAAAGCACACCGCAATTTCACAAAAAAAACTGTAAGCGTCATCAACAATCCATGTCAAGAAAGCTCAGAACGCGCAGATACATCGTCAGTCCCTTTCGTGCTCACGCCCTTTACATGGTGGTTGGATATTCGTGGGGATCTTCGGTCGCCATTTAAAAAGGGATTTGGGCAATCCCCACAACCAATCAGGAAAACGGGCTTTTGCGCCTGTTGATTGTGAGCTCTTCGGTTTCCGGCTGAATCGGTAGCGGCTCTTCTGTTTCAGGTCTCGTTGGAAGTAGACTGTGTAGACGAACAAGCCAGCGGTGATGTGCGTCAATAGCCACCTCCGCTTCTTGTTGGATTTCCCACAGGGGCAAGGCGTTGGCGCAATTCTCTTGCACCAATGTCCGCACGTCTATTGTTCTTGATGTGTATGCAGCTTGTATGATGGAGCGCAGCAAGTTCTTCTGTCAGCAAGTGCTCTGGGATATGTTCAAGTTTGTGCGCATGTACCCAATGCACTTGAAAAGGATTGGGAGAAAGAAGTTGTCTTTATTGAAACAAGGCAAGCCCAAATTCCCACCAATCCCGACAAAGCCAATTGGGCCCGACTGATTGTGTACTGAACAACTCATTCGCCTGCTGAACTACTGTCAGGTTGTCTGAGAACACCTGAAGAGGTTGCTTGGATAGTGAACAGGCGATGATAATTGCCCAAAGCTCAGCCGTATACAAGGTGAGATTCCAGTGATTGACTTGACCTCGTGTGAGGATTGAACCACACTCCAAGATCACCGCAAACGTAGCGGTCGTTAACCAAAATTTGTCATTGCGCAGGACCGACCCATCGGTCCACATCCTCACACTAGCACCGTCACTGAAGGTGTCGGAAATTGTGATATCTTCAGGTGTCAAAACAAGAGGCGCTTGCGGGCAACAAACGAAGCATGGCATGTGGCCCATCATCGCAGAATTCGGTCCAAACTCATGGGCAATGGGTTTGCCAATGATTTCATGTAAAGCATCACACGCCATGAGATGTGGCATAGATTCCTTGGTAGCGGAGCAAAACCGACAGGATGGGTCTTCGTTCCAGCCTGACCCAGCCAACCGGTCGTTTGTCAAGACACACCCTAAGCACAGACTCGAAACGAGAAATGTCTGAAACAGCAGGAATATCATTTTTGGAAGCACGCTTCAGGAACCGAGTAGTTTGCTGCACATCAAAAACACCACTGGGTCGATTGAAGTCCTTTTGGGTCGAGCCTGATGCAGCAGCATCGCAAGCATTTCGATTAATACGCTGCAGGCCTTTTTTGATATCTTTTGGACGCACTATGGATAGATCGAGGGTCTGGACTCGCAAAAGGAAATCCGGAGCTCGTCATCGATTCGGATACTCAGTACATCAGCTGCTTCACGAATTGAGCATGCGAGTGTGTGCTTAAGAGTACTGCCCTGTGAAAGGGTACGCTTGATTTTGGGAATGTGTGGCACAATCTCACAATCGTATTGAAGGCACCGCAAAAAGACGGGGCAGTTCTGTGTGGGTTGGAGAGCACACCTTGAACTAACCACTTTGACCGCCATTGGGGTCGCCCAACCCATAAAGCTCGCACGATGGCATTCTGGATCAAGGCAATGTCCTTCTTGGGGATCTTTGAGATATGGGACCCGAAAGCAAGCTGTGGGATAATTTTAGCACCGATCAAATGGACTCTAGTGGAATGGGGCACTGGGAGTGCAGCAATGTTCTCAACGTCTCAAAGGATTTTCTTGAGAGTTTTGGTGGAAAATTCCAAATTGTCACGTTCTGAACTGTACATTCTAGTTCGCGGGACCTCAATTTCGAGTTCAACCGGAAATGGAAAGTCTTCCTCAGCGCCGATCTCGCAGCTGAAGTTGTGCCCCACATTGAAGATTTGTGTTCGTTCAATTTTTGGCCTGGGAGCAAATCCCAAACTTTGGTAACCTCAAGGGCTTTGTGGATTGTGGCTATATAGATAAGCCTGCGCCAGAGATACGCATCATCCACGAATGAACGTGCAGTGATGTCCGGGAGATGTTCTAGGAAATGGAGCCCAACTTTGTTATAAACGTTCATGGCCAGCAACGAAAGGGATCACCCTTGAGCGACGCCATTTGCCGGGCGTGTGGCTTGAGGTGAGCACCAGCTGCGGTACGCTAAGTGCCTCCCAGAGAGGGTCGGTCACCCAAAATATTTTGGGATGAAGTCGATATGAACGTGGCCCCAAAAGGAGGTGAGCGTCCCACTGTCATGTGAGTATCGGTATGGCCACCGACCGCACGCGGCCCACCGGCGCAGAAGCAGGCGGCCAGCATCTTTTTCCGCATTGGTATTGACAATCTGAGCAAAGACAACGGTTGGCGTCCACGACTGTAGTTAAGGAATGTTTACCGTCAGAGAAAGGAGTCTCACGCTGTGCAATATCACGCAGCCACCCCGGTAGAGAATCGGTTTGATGACGCCGAACTCCGATGTATACGGCCAGAAAAATGGGCATAATTTCACCAATGCGGTTGTCAACTGACGACCCAACAAGATGCCTGTAAGAAAAGTACCTCACTCACCGCATGGCATAGTTTACGCAACTCGCCGTCCTCCTATTGAAAAAATTACTTTACTTCGAGTGATCCCCGCCATGACACTTCAAAACGGCCACATTGACATCAACCTTGTTGTGCATGTCACAACCCAAGTGTAGTCTCAGCTTTGTAGACAAATGCACCCTACCGCACTCACTCTGCCATATCATCGAACTGATTGCTCCCGCACTATGGTGAGTTTGCTGGTTCGCGATTTTGCTTCGGTCCTCCGGTTGTGCGTTGTCGTTGCGTGCTGTGTCTATGGTTGTGTGTTTGTAGTTATGTGTTGTCGTGGTGTGTTGTGGTTATGTTTATGATTGTGTTTGTTGTTGTGTTTGTGATTGTGTGTTTGTGGTTGTGTGTTTCTAGTTGTGTTTGCAACTGTGTTGTGATTGCGTGTTTGTTGTTCTGCTTGTGGTTGTGTGTTTGTGGTTGTGTCTGTCGTTATGTGTTTGTGATTGTCTCTTTGTAGTTGTGTTTGTGGTTGTGTGTTTTGTTGTTCTGTTTGTGGTTGTGTTTGTCCTAATGTGTTTGGAATTGTCTCTTTGTAGTTGTGTTTGTGGTTATATGTTTGTGATTGTGTGTTTGTTTTTCTGTTTGTAATTGTGACAGTGTTGAGGTGTGGCAGGGAACACAGGGCGTGGCTGGTCGTGGTTGAGGTCCGGCAGGGAACACTGGGCATGGCTGGTCGTGGTTGAGGTCCGGCAGGGAACACTGGGCGTGGCTGGTCGTGGTTGAGGTCCGGCAGGGAACACTGAGCATGGATGGTCGTGGTTGAGGTCCGGCAGGGAACACTGGGCGTGGCTGGTCGTGGTTGAGGTCCGACAGGGAACACTGGGCGTGGATGGTCCTGGTTGAGATCCGGCGGAGGAGGACGAGGAGGAGAAGGAGAAGGAGAAGGAGAAGGAGAAGGAGGAGAAGAAGGAGAAGGAGGAGGAGATAACAACCCTCACCTGACAGGCCTTCCGGGTCTCCAGATACTGGGCAGCAAACCCTGCTTCACGATGCACTCTATTCCCAGTCGTGCCATTGAGCTTGTCTAAGCCATTGCTCAAATAATTTGTGCATGCCTTTCTCTTCGGCGGCATGGCTTCCGTCGCGATATAAATCCAATTATAGCTATAAAAATTCAGGGGAATAGACGCGTAGAAGTTTCAAAATTCTCCAACATGTCCCCATTTTAGTGCTTGCTATCTCTGGGAGTACGAACTTACATGAACAGCCCTCAAAAACTCCAATAACATATTTTTTAATTCGAGACTTTCTCTAAGATACCTTGAAGCACGATAAACCCGGCATGGCGTAATCTTCTTGAGCGTCAACAGGCGACAATCTGCAGCATACATATCCGCCAAACATGTGCGAAAAATAACCGCTTCCCATGTGTTCATACCAAAAAACCTTGCATCACGTAAATAAGTCTTGCGACGGATTTTTGGAATGCACCATGCCAGCACAAGTTCGAACAATTCCATCAGGCTTTGGCCACAGCTCACAATAACAATAAGAATCTCGAGCACGAAAGGCACGCGCAAACACCACGTGAAGTCAAGCGGTTTGGAAACAAATGTATTCGCACTCGTTGGATCTCATTAGGATTGTGATGGATTTTGGTAAGCAGGTCACTTCACAATAGCTGTTTGAGCTACACTCTACGCAACAATTTTTCCGGAAAAAACGTCCCACCCTACTTACAGCCTCAATTTTTGGGTTCCGACTCCGACATCTACAAGTCTGAAGATGCCGTCTTAAGCAATGGCTCTTGCTCATAATAGGGATACCAAGGGAGAAGAAAAAACGACAGACAGAAACAGTGATAGGAATTCGAGACGCAACATGCCGCCGCTCGTCGTTTTTCGCATTTATTGACCGCCCTGCCCCCCCCAGATATGCACAATACACACAAATATGGAAACAACCACATTTTATATGGTTGTGCATGGGAAAATGAGTAGTTAGGAAAAAGTTCGAAAGGCCAGCTATTCAACAAGTAAGACTAGCAAAGAATGTGTGACCAGGCAGGATACATCGTCGCCTGGTCAACGAAGCTGGCGAGGTATCCGAGGATATGGAAATGGTTAACGAAGCTAGTTTCTACCCTATTTGAAGCGATTCCTTTGGTCTCGCTTCCGGATGGAAATTACCCCATTATGCATGGCCGTAATTCGGGACCGCTAAGTATTCACTAACTAAGTCCGGGACTTCATCAACTGATACGGCTGTTGCGATCATTGATCTAAGTGTGTGTCTAAAGAGAACACCATATCTAGAGTGTGCGCGCATGTGTGTGTGCACAAGGATGCTGTGCCCCACTGTCACGTGAGAAAACGCTTGAACAGCTGAACCTAGTCAGCTGGACCTCGTGGCATTCGTGCTTCCTGGGGAACCGTCCGCAGCAACTGCCCACTCGCTTCGTCGATACCCTCTCTCCTGTTGCCAAATGGAAAGAGTGTGCTTGGAGATGCTTCGAGTCATTTGCATTCATTTGCGCACCGACCTGGGAATTGTTTGCACAGTTCAAGAAACAGTTTCTGCATCTTCATCCTACCGCACCTGCACCAGTTCCGCCACAGCTCCAGGTCTTTCACTGCGTATCAAGGGGTGTATGGGGAGCGCTCGGATCTTGTTGCGCAAGTGGTTTTATCCTGGCGCCATTGACCCGCAACCGCAGTTGATTTCGTCGTATTCCTCTTGGCGGATGAGGCACCCCGACCCGCGGTTTGAGAAGCGAATTCCACGGAGCCCCCAGAGTAGTTCACCGTGACCCGCCGATGGTACTGTCCCACGATCCGGGATTTCTGGCTGACCGACCGGAGCCGAAGGAGACATGGCGCCTGGGAATTCTTCAGAGGGGAGGAGGGAAGCAACTGGACGAGCGCTGCACATGTCGGGTGAGGATTGGATGGAACAAACGTTTGTCCCGGATAGGATAGGTCTATACACCCAGTGGAGATGGGTTTGACAGACAGACCCAGCGAAAGTGGATGGTTTTCATATGTTTTCATTCACGTGCCCTGGCACGTAGCCTCGATTGACATCGCCCCCAGCGTGAGACCCGTCGGTGACCGAGCAAGTTGCACGACGTACACGTTGGTGACCGAGTATTCCCAGACCATCCATGGGACTGGAACAGTTGCAGACATTGACCCCATGAGAATGACAGACCCAGCCATGTAGGTAATACAGTGGTTTCAGAGTAGATGGCACAATCCCCAACAGATTTGTTTAAATATGGACTTTAGATCTTTTCAGGACGTCTTGGAGTGCCGTATTACCTACAATGGATGGTCTGGGTCAGAATGGATGGTCGAAACGAAGACTCCCATTCGAAGTCGGCCTTCCAAAGGCCTCGCCCTGCTCGTGGAGGTAGATCCCACCTGGCGATCTTTGGACCATCGTTGGGATTGACCCAGTGACCCAGTTGACCCTGGTTTCGTAGTGTACCAACCGGTAAAACCATGGTGGTTCGGGATTGAGACTACCCTAAGAATCCTTGGGCTCTCCATGGCAGGGGTCAGACCCTCCATAGCAGGGGTCCGGGCCCTCAAAACCCTATCTGTTTGAGGGCCGGATTCTTAGGGTAGTAAGTCAATGGTGGGCCACGAAGGCTGGGTTCCCAAAGCGTAAGTGCTGAAAGGCATCCATTCACAGAAACAAGAGACCCACAGCCTTCAGCCTGGTTCTTCAGTTCGCTTCACCGTCTTGATATCCCGGTTTCAGGTCAACAGTAGAAGGTCACTGGATGGTGCTCCATGGTCCAAAGCGGGCACTTTGAAGAAGCTGCAGGTTGTGGGTCTCTTATGCATGGTAATCCATGGAGCCAACATGAAGGAAAAACGCGTGGAGCGCTCATTTTTGGGCGGCAAAGAAGAACCAGCAACGATTTCCAAAACCCTGGAAACAAAAGAACCAGCTTTCCAGCAGCTATATATAATAACTATATAACTTATCTTTCGCGCTGCTCACAGCAAGGATTCGTCGAGTTCGTCATGAGTTTGGACTGTCGCCAGTGCCGTGAAGCAATCCAAAGTAGTACACTTCATGCTGGAAGTCAGGACCTAACTATGGAAAGAATTGTCTTTGGGTGACCCAAAAAGGGATTTCCTTTACTTCAATGTTGCAAAATATTGTCTTTGGACTTCTAAGAATAACGATCCCTATAGAGAGATGACACCACCAAGAGCAAACTCATGGCTGGCATGGAAAGGAGACCCTGCAAAATGCCAGTTGGAATCGAATGCCTTCTCCCGATGGGCGGAGCTGTCCCCAACTCCTGTCCTTACATGACACTTGCCTAACAAGAGTATGACCCAACAAATACTGTGGCATTGGCTCAAACATAGGATGCCAATGGAACACATGACGAGTCAAAGAAGAACACTCTCTCCGAAGGAAATCCGGAAGATCGCAAGGTAGCAAAAAAATACGCAAATTAAATAGCACAACAAAAAATAGCCTAAACAATCATTCTCTCCGAACTCAACCAACACTCTCCGAATTAATCCGGAAGATCTCAGCGTGCAAATAGACTAAAAAGAGGGGACTGACCACATCCGCACCTTCTGTAAAAAGGGCCATCAGCTGTTGAGACGAGACTTAATATAGGCCACACATGGCCACACACCACACGCACCACGCACCTCATGGAGGATTGGCTGCTCATCGCTTGTTTCCAGTTTCCATATGTCCAAGTGGGGTCCTATGTTTGGAGCCACGTCCACGGTGTGGGTTAAAACAACCTCACCCAAACCTCACCCTGGGTGGAAGGCTGACCTCCCAAACCGTCACACAGGAATCGGTTCATTTGACCTCTGGGTCAACCAGGGGCCCCGGAGGCGGGGTGCCGTCTTTGGGCGTGTTCCAGCGAGGATAGAAGCCCAGGTACTCTCCGACCACGACGAGGCATCGAAGAAATCCTCAGACAAACGAAGACATCGGACGAGCACATCGGACGAGCACATCGGACGCGGCGTCCGAGGACTGCAAAAGCCACCGTTTCTTGGAGAGGACGGGAACGACGACGGCCTGAATTCCTAAAGGAATGGGCTGGAAAACAATATCTCTCTCAACTTCCTGATCTAGTTCTTCGATGTTAGTTCCCCAAGTGGATGACTTTTCGCAGTTTCCGTCCCAAAAGCTGTCTGGCTTGCCGGTGCCCCAGCGAAATTGAGCTGTGGTGGACATGTGGCCCTATCTCCCTCCATCCACTGGTTAGACAAACAAGAATCGCCATTCGCAACCCTGAAATCAGGTCATCAAGGAGGATCCGGGTCCTAAGCTAGAGCTAATGAAACTCAAGGTTGCCTCATATTCCCAGCGCGTCAGGTTACTTTTCTGCCAGGTTACCAGGTCAGCTACCTCTGTGGTCTTGGAGAAAAGAATAACTGGGTCTTCCAACTGTGCCGAATTGATGCCTAATTGATGCCTGTTCAATCCCTTTTTTTAAATGTCTGAGAGCCAACCAAGTTCAGCATCAAATTCAGCACAGTTGGAGGTATTGGATTGAAATTTGACCCTCAAACCAATCGAGCCTACTACCAGCTGCGCCACTCACTCTTCGGGGTCGGGACCAGGCCAGGTGGCTCAGCCGCTGATAGGTTACTAGACAGAAAGGGCTAGGTATTCAACATGTCCTTAGGATTCCTGGCCATTGATTTGATTATCAGGTATACAATTTATTTCATTGTCTGGGATTTGAAACATCTCGGGATAACAATATGGAAACATCTCGGGATAACAATATGGCCTCTTTCAACTTGTCTGACCAAACAGATCATTCAATCGGTTTGTCATCCAATGACGGGAGTCGATGTTTCCGTGTGGTTTGAACTTTGAGGCTTCCGTGTCGTCCAACCTCCACCCTCTTCCGATCTCTAACCCGTCCTCATAGAGCAGCAGGGACACATACAAAGGCCCATCTGTGAGAAGCTCCTTGCTGACTTGCTGATATGGCATCTTAACAAATTGAGGTGTTTTCTTTACAAACATTTGGGCAGCCATTGTAGCATCGGGCGTTCCATTTCCATTCGCACATAGCGCTGACTCTCGTTATGACTTATCGTGACTCATGAAAGACCCCGAACAGCTAGTGGTTCACGTCGTCCATCCCCACAGCTTCCAATGAGTCGTAACGGAAGTGCACCGCCAATCATCCCGCTCCCCAGATACCCGTTGAATAATGCCAAAAGGTCTGACTCAGGACTTTATTTTATATATCCTTCGGGACTGAGGTCATTTCCTGAATTTTTAGTGGCCCAAGGTACGATGCAAAAAAAAAGATTGTTTTTTTGGCCTTATAACTTCCTAGGACCAAGGTGTTTTTAAAGTCCTGGGACTGAGGTCGGGACATGTGTATAAAACAAAATTATGATTCATACCGAAATGCTGTCATTGACCCTGGCTCATGTTTTTCTGCGCAAAAAGAGCTCTACTTTTTTCCTTTTGGCTGCCGAATTCCCAAATAGATCACCCACCAAATACTGAGACAGGCGAATTGAGGATATTGTCGAGTTTTTATGCGGCTAATCGGCTATGCCTGGTGTACTTCCATTGAGGGAATAGACCTGCAGAGTTTGTGTGGCGTATTAGTCATTTATAAATAGATTTTGGTGAATTGAACACTCTCGTGTCTGTGGCATGCTGCAGCCCAACACAATACATCGAGCACGACCCCGCAACACAGGGAACGACCGCGGAGTCCAAGGAACGACTGCGAAACACAAGAAAACATAATATAATCCTGAGCTTGACCCTCAAAGACCTCCAAGTGACAACATCCTTTTATAGAATCCTGCGTCTGACCTAACATGTGGTCTTTCAAGTCAGTTACATCATTGTTTATCTAGCTTTCCTGGAGTTCTGGACCAAGGACTTTTTGGGAATTCCGGATGAACCCTCATGCTTGTTATGAAGTCCTGGACGTACGTGGTTTTCGGAAAATATTTTGTACTATTTAGTGGGGTTGGGGTCCTTGATTTTAGTATGGATAACCGGACGGATATCCAGCAACACGCCACGTTTGCGCCATCGTGTTTCGCACGGACTCACCTCCACCACGGCCTCTGCTATCGAACGCTCAAAGAGTGGCTCAAAGTGGAGCCCTGTCAACTTACCTTTGACCAGGGTCGCGTGTTCCGAGTCCACTCAGATGAAGAATAGGCGAATTTAAGCTGTCAGCTCTGGATGCCTCATTATACGGTGAGGCTTCCTCAGCGCGTGGCAGATTCCAGTGATAAAGAGGTCAGACTATAGAGGTCGCCTGGCAGATTCCAGTGATGGAGAGGTCATAGATCTCATAGAGTGAGACTTCACCGCCTGTCAGCTGATTCATAGATGGAGTGGCCATAAATCCAGTGAAGGCTCTAAAGAATAGGCGAATTCCACTGCTCACTCAGGACATCATGAGGACCTGCTTCCAGAGCATCCTTTCCTGGTGGTCTCACGGATTCTCTCTGCTGCATCATCAGACTCGTCATTCAGCTCCGGAGGATATGTCACGACCTGGCTATCACTGAGCACTTCACCGATGATGTTCCCGTATACGGCAAGACTGCGCCTGGCAGATTCCAGTGATGGAGAGGTCATAGGTCCAGTGAAGGCTCTAAAGAATCGGCGACTTTAAGCTGTCAGCTCCGTGAACGCCGTGAAGACCTGGGGCGTGACCCCGACTTGGGTGAAGATGTTGGACTTCAAGCGTGCCACCTTCGACACGGCCCGCGTCAACCTGGCGCGGTTTGTGATCCTTTGGAATCTGGCACCCTTACGTCCGTGGCCTCTTCGAGGACCTCAAGAGTTGAGTCCACACATTCTCCTCCTGAATCTTGGATCTTCCAGCCTGGCGAGGGAGGTGAAGAGCACCAAGAGGAAGAGCAAGCTCCTCCTCTCGCCCTGGTTGAGATGGGCGCCGCGATCCTGAGCACGTCGTCGCGGGCGTCGTGGCTCGTCGAGCCGGCTGCGTCGACCATATGTTGTTTTCCTGCGTGGGCGGGCAATCAACGTCTCAGGTAATCCCAGGCCGCTCTGAACCACTGTCCTGTACACCGGGCCGATGTTGCGCGGGGCCGCCAATCTGGCCACGCAATGCTTGATTGATCCCGCTCAAGATGATGACCGCCATGAAGATGAAGAATATCCGCATGGAGTACGTCATCAGGTGGTGGGGGTGTGGGGCAATCTGCTCGTCGTGCCGGCTCAGGGATGTGGATGAAAAAAGATGGAGCCCACGAACCCGAATGCAAACACGTTCGAAAGGCTACATATGTCCAAATGAAACTCTTGTAGGACACTCTTGTGGGATACTCTTGTGGGCCACTCTTGTAGGAAACTCTTGTGGGACACTCTTACGGGACACTCTTATGGGACACTCTTGTGGGACACTCTTACGG